CTGGTTAAGTTATTTCAATTAAGTATTGGTAAGAGTTTAATACGTAATATGATAACTAATAAAATATTTAAATAATTAATTTTATCAGTAGAAAGTTTGAGATACTGCATTTCTATACTTTTCATTGTGAAACCGGGTAATGTGTATAGGATAAATGACCTAAAATTGAAGGAGCACACTTGAGAAAACAATTCTATAAAATAAAACTTTCTCCTTTGTGAACATTCTAAGTTTATATTTATAAATATTAATTTTTGTAGCTATTTTTCATCCTTTTTAATATATATGCATATATATATATATATATTAAAATGTAAATCAATCTAATGAAATAAATATAAAACAATTATTATTTATATATTTGTAATTAATGTAAATCAATTCGTATTGTTTACAGATTTGATAATTATCTGATTTAAAAATGTCAGACATTGAAGCAGATGATGAGGTAGGTTAAAATGAATACTCAATAATGTTATGTTAATACTTTATCGATTGGATCGTAATAATAATTTTTTACTTCTAAGATAGAAAAGACAAACAAAAAAGTAATTGATCAAACAATAAAAAGTAATATTTATCCAGTCATATTTCATCCATAAATACAGCATTAACATCACATTGACAATATATAATACAATGTATATTTTTTGTAATTATTAATGTGAGTTTTTTTTTTTTTTTTTATTATTATTGTCTTTACAGTTTCAAGATGCTCAAGAAGATCCAGCTTCGTAAGTTACAAATACTTTTCTGTGTATAATTTATAACTGTGCATATATTTTTGTACAATAATCAATTTTATTTTATTACAGATCTACTTCTATGGATTTAGAAACAGCTATTTCAGAATCAAGAAAGGCAATTTATTATTTTTTTAATAATGATTTTGATCAAGCAAAAAAGATTATGGAACCATGGGCAAACAGTAGCATGTACCATTCTTTAGGTACAAGTGTCTTTGCATTTCTAGAAGCTATACTGACATTTGAAGAAGTATGAAGAATTAATTAACATTTTTCTATTCATTGATATTTATATATATATAATGTATAATTTTTAATACTTTTTTTAATATGCATTATTTAGAAGTACATTGAGAAAGCATCTGAAGCATTGAAACAATGTATAAATGTTTGTTCGAAACATCGCAAATATACTTCAATTACACAAAACATTGGAAAAATGGTTAAGAAGACCAATTATGACGCTTATACAATTGGTAATGTAACATGTTTTTCTTTCACGGCATATTATAAAGCTTTATAATAATGCATGTTAGAGCACAAACTAACATTAGTATAATTACTGCTACTATTGTATATAATATATCAATCCAAAGAATTGACAATGGGGAAACATGTGATTAATTAATTAAATTAATGGTTTATATTATAAATATATTGAGAAATAACATCATATATTTTTTTTTTCTTCTTCATATTTATAACATTTAATTTATATAATTATTTTTTTTTTTAGTTTAATAAAAAGGATGTAAACAATCATTAAGTCCACAAGTGTGACTTATCATTAATTTGTAGCATTGACTTTAGCAATAACATTATTAAGTTAAGTGTAGTGCATGCAAGGAATGATAGAAAATTAATATTGCAGAGGAAGTGCATGCAGAACTCTGCTATGCTGAATCACTTCTTTTAAAGTCGATGCTCACATTTGTGGAGGACGAGACTCTGGTCAGTTTTGTCAAGGCTGGATTGAAAATTCGTACCTGCTTTCTATCGTACAAGTAAATAAATCCTAACGTGAAAATTATATTTCTTTTTTTTTTCTTCTTCTTCTTCTTCTTCTTCTTAACACATCTTTATCTAACGTTTTTTGTTTTTGTTTTTACATTACAGAGAATGTTTAACAATTCTAAATAATCGTAAATGGGAGAATGAAATACAAAAACTTCATTTTGAAAGTGGCGTACGTATGGGTATTGGCACATTTAATTTGGTATGTAAAATATTTTTTTATGATATAAATAATAATAATATATATATATATTATTATGATTAATTATAATGTTTGAAATTACACAGATGATTTCTTTATTACCTCCTCGAATTATTAAATTACTGGAATTTATTGGATTTTCTGGTGATAAGGTAATGAGACATATTTTAATTTATATATATATATATATAATAGTATAAAGAAATAATGAAAATGTTATTTTTAGGATTACGGTATTGGTGAATTAGAAGCAGGATTTAAAGAAAGAAGAGGTCTTCGTCAAATATTGTGTGTAATGACATTACTAAGTTATAATTTATATGCTTGTTTTATATTAAGTCATGCGGATGGTAATTTAGACTGGTGTCAGGAAGCATTAGACGAAGAATTAAATACTTATCCAAATGGTGTATGGTTCCTTTTCTTTAAAGGAAGACTTGAATTAGTAAGAGGAAATATTGAAGATTCCATAGAATGGTATACAAAATCTTGGAAGAGTCAAAATATTTGGCCTCAATTTCATTGTGCTTGTTATTGGGAATTAATGTGGGCTCATTGTATTAAACAACAATGGAACGAAGCTGATGATTATGCTAATAAATTAGCTAATGAATCCAAATGGTCTAGAACGATATACCTTTATCAAAAAGCTGCAATTCTTTTAATGCAAAATCCAAATAACGATGAGAAACATATTATAGATAATTTAATGATGCAAGCACCAACCTTCAAACAACGCATTGCAGGCAAATCATTGCCAATTGAAAAGTTTATTGTTAAAAAGGTAGAACGTTATTTTGCACAGAAAAAGAATTTAATTCTTCCAGTGTTTGAGCTTATGTATCTGTGGAATTTATTCAGGATAATTGGTAAACGAAGGGATTTAATTATAAATATGTACAAAAGAATTGAAGACGAGGAAAAAGAATTAAATTCATCGATGTGAGTCTTTTTTTGTTTTTTCCTCTTCTTTATCATAATTTATTTTCATATTTGTTTTTAACAATTCAAATTATTTTCTAGGAAAACAGAATTTCATGCAGACAATGAAGCACTTCTTTTGCTTTTAAAGGGTGCTTGTCTTCGTCAAATGGGACATCACGCATTATCTGAGAATTGTTTGGAACGTGTTAAACAATTAGAAAAATCTATAAAAGAAGACACTTATCTACTTCCTTATGCTACCGTTGAACTTGCTTTATTAGCAGAAGATCAACAGGATATTAAAACTGCAGTTTCATATTTGGAAGATGCGAAGTAAATAAATCTTAGTAATATTTTACGTATACATATAATATACATTATTAATTGTAATATTATATTTTTCAGAAAAAATTATACCGGATACCTGTTAGAAACAAGATTACATTTTCGAACACATTCGGATATTATGAGATTGACTGGAAAAAAATCAGGTGATCTCATATCAAATAAACAAGAAAATGTAATTAAACAGCAACAGAAAGAAAATGCTATTAGTACATTTATTAATGAGGAGTCAAATACAGATAGTAATGCGAATGCAAAATTAAAAAATAATGTAATTGTTACAAGCCTATAGAATTCAACATTTTATCTAAATAATATGTTTACTCTTCTATATATTTCTTTTATACTTCAATGATTGAAGATAAGAAGAATTTATCTAATATTCTTGGCACTATAATTCTATTCATGGTCGATTTAATGGTCTATTGTAAAGATTTAAATTATTTTTTTATAGTTATAAATTATTATATTCTTTCTTATTATGGGTCAAGTATAGAAAAACAATTTCATTTAAATTGTTATTATTGTATGGGGAAAAGTATGAAGAAGTACTGTTTCATTCATACGTAATTATACATGCAACTAGTGAGCATAGATATATTGTAATTAAACAATTTAATAAAATTATTTCTAATAAAACAGAATTCAAAGAAAACAAAAATGAGGAAAATGAAATATTTGCTTCATTTGAAATGTCATTCGCATATGAATTTGTTATTGTACAAATTTACATATTTTGCATTTGTTTCAAAACTATTTTTGTTATTTTTATGGTATGTGATACGTTGTTTTTTTTTTTTTTTTGTTAAATTATTTATGTTACGTTATTGTTATTTGTTTTATAATTTGTGATATTTCATTTTAATTTTTGTAATTTAAAATGATATTAAAAAAACTTTGTTGAATTGTATTTTTATTGGTTATGTGATGTATAAGAATATGTTAGAAAATATGTTAATGAAAAATATTATATATATANATATAAATTCTTATATATTATTTTTATTAAATATTGTATTGTACAAAATTTGCCCTCAGTTGGTAATTCAGTTTCGTTATAATGAAACCCCGAGGAATGTAAAGTTACTATCCTATACCGTCCTATATATTGTCTGTAGGTGAAGTTAGGTGAAATTGATGTTACTTCAATACTCTAGTGTTATTCTAGTGGAGCTGGAACCGCAGGTTTTAAACATTATTTAATAGTTGAACGTTTTTCTTATTGCAAATATAAAAGATAAAGTTTAATAATAATTATATATATATATAGATATTTATAGTAAAATATAAATAATTAGTTATTAATTTTAGCTTTGTACAATGACAAGTTCACGAAATTAAACGAACACATGTTACAACCGGTTTCAATATTTCTTTTATCTTTTTATTTTGCATCAATACATTTACAATCTACATAATTATCAAAGACTTTTTATATATATCTAATTATAATATCAAAGATTACACATTGAATAATATCATGATAGCTATATTGAAGTACTTACTGAGATAATAGTCGCAATATATAATCTCTTATTGGAATTTCTAACCTAACATATGAACCCGGTATTTTAAACTAATTGTCAAATATCTATTGTTGGAAAAAATTATTCGTTATCAAATTCTTATATAACTTAGGGGAATATTTAAATAATTAAATTCAAATTAAATAACATTATACATTTTTGKTTTTTTTTTTTTTTTTTTTTTYYTWWAYTTWRCRRWAWTRRWWAWATAWAMGTKAKKATRMWAMAYTRSRARWTAMATRWATAAATGTAAAACAGAAATAAGAGTAATTTATAAAAGAAAAACTATGTTCCTGGGTAATAGAGTATTTATATATGTATTATATATGTATACACACACATATATACACACACATATATGCATATAATAGTAATATTTTTGAAATATGATTTTTATTTGTATAATAAATGTATCAAATATGTTACAGATATCAATCAATAAATAGCATCTAATTCACAATGAGCACAAATATGAGTGATGTACAAGGTTCTTTAAAGGAAGCTTTATACGATACACTGACAGGAATTTTATCTCCCCATCGAGAAATTCGACAAGCAGCTGAACAAAGAATTCAAGCACTCGAAGTTACAGAAGAATTTGGTATTCATCTTACTGAATTCGTGATTGATCCTAATGGTCATTTACCAATTAGACAATTAGCATCTATACTTTTAAAGCAGTATGTAGAAGCACATTGGAATTTGTTAGCTGAAAAATTTAGGCCGCCTGAATTAAAACAAGTAACTAAAGAAAAAATAAAAGAGTTATTACCACAAGGATTATGTGAACCTATTAGCAAGGTATGCGATTATAATATCTTTCTTCATTATAATATTTTAATTTTCATTTATATAACATATTTATCTATTGATTTAGGTACGTACAGCAGTAGCATATGCAATATCTGGTATAGCACATTGGGATTGGCCTGAAAATTGGGCTGGCCTATTTGATATATTAGTTAATTGTTTGAGTGGAGAAAGTGAATTTGCTGTTCATGGAGCAATGAGAGTTCTAACAGAATTTACGCGTGATCTCACCGATACTCAAATACCAAATGTTGGTCCTGTTATATTACAAGAGATGTATAGAATCTTTCAGAGCGAGAATGTAAGTTAACCGTAATATTTAACAATGTGTTCATTTTTTTATTTCTCAATTTAAACATGTGTGTATTTAACTTGATATATTTTATAGCAATATTCAATCAGAACGCGTGGACGTGCAATTGAAATTTTTACGATCATCGCCAGTCACATAGCTAATATAGGAAATAAAGCATTTGTAGAACAATATTTGCAACCAGTTATTCCTATGTTTTGTGAAAAATTTGTTCAGTGCCTGCGCATTCCTAATGGTCCAATAAATGACAGTGGACTTAAAACTGATATTATCAGAGCCATATACTGCCTTGTTACAAAGTTACCTAAATATATACCCCACTTTTTACCTCAAATGTTACCACCAGTTTGGGAAACATTAATTGAAAGTGCAAAAATTTATCAAGAAGAAACAGTCAATGGAATTTCAGAAACAAATAACAAAGAAGTAGATTCTGATGGTATGTTATAATAATAATACAAAAATTGAACAGATAATCATTTTAAATCTTTCATTGTTTTCAGGTGAAATCATTAATTTTAACAACCTTATCATTGCTATATTTGAATTTGTTACTTCTATTATGGAAAATAAAAAATTTTCACACCTTGTCTACAATTTGTTACAAGATATACTTTACTATACAATCATTTTTATGCAAATAACGGATGAACAAATCGAATTATGGACAAGTAATCCTAATCAATTTTTAGAAGAAGAAGATCAGTGTTTTCTCTCTTATAACTTGAGGATATCAGCAGAGGAATTTTTATCAGTAAGTACAGATAAAATGTAATTGAATTAATACAAATTATTTCTATATATTACTTTTACTCAGAATATTATCATACAATTCGAAGAGAGAGGAGTGAATGCGCTTTGTGAAGCAATTACGCGGCATATCGACGCCACAAACAGATTGCAAGTTGGCGGTGGTGATAATAGGAGTATTGAAAATTGGTGGAAAATACATGAATCTTCCATAATAGCATTGAGTATTACAAGAGATACAGTGATAGAAACACAGCAGCAAGGATTATTGCAATTTGATATTATTAGATTTATGGAAACTGTTGTATTAAATAATTTGAATGATTCAAGTAATGAGAATATTATTTAAATCTATTTCTATTTAGAATTTGTGTAATGTAATTGTTAATTATTATTTTCTCTATATAATACTTATTATTTATAGATGCACCACCATTACTTCTTGGTCGTTGTTTATGCGTCGGTGGGAGATATGCTGCATTAATGCCACCTGAAATGAACTCAAGATTTTTAGAAGCAACAGTTAATGGTTTACAAGAAAATCAACCTGCATGTATTCGTATAAGCGCTGCTAAAGCTATATATTGGTTCTGTGAAATATCCACTACAGATGCTAATAATCCTACTCTTAATATTATTAGATCTCATTTACCGAATATATTTCAAGGATTGTTTAATTTATCTAGTCAAGCATCTACAGAAATCCTAATCTTAGTAATGGAAACATTTCAAGTAATAATATCGGTAATTATAATAACATATTTGTATATATATATATTTTTGGGTTTTATGTATGTTACATAAAACATTTTAATATTTGTTAAAATTTTACAGTTGGATAAAGCATTTACTGCCTCAGTAGAAAATAAAATATGTCCATTAACAATTGCGGTATTTTTAAAGTTTAATAGCGATCCAATAATACTGTCTGCATGTGAGAGTATATTTAAAGAATTAACACAAAATCCAAACTGCATCGAACCTCTGCAAACTCGTTTAATACCAACTTTAGTGAGTATGATGGCAGTTACACCAGTGGATAGAACGAAGGATGGTATGAACATTTCTAATAACGAAGATAGATTTATATTTATTTAAGAAATATATTAATTTTTGTATTTTTATTAGAGGGAAATCGTGGGGTAGCTTTGGATATTTTACAAGTTCTTGTTCAATATTCACCAAAACCGTTAAGTAATGCTTTGATTGAAACCGCCTTTCCTGCTGCTTGTCATTGCATTCTTAATTCCGAAGAAAATGGGACACTACAAAGTGGAGGAGAATTAATACGTACATATTTATCTGTAGCTGCACGTCAAGTTACTAATCACAGAGACAGCGATGGCCAAACTGGATTACAATATATCTTGCGAATAATTTCACAGTTGTTAAATCCTCAGGTAATATTATAATATAAAGGTATTTTTTTTTTTAATTTATGATAAATATGTTTATCAAAATGTTGTCCCTTTATTTTATAGTCTAGCGAATTTACAGCAACGTTCATTGGACGTTTGGTAACAACTTTAATAAGACATGTTGGGAATACGTTGGGAGAAAATCTTGATCTGTTATTAAAAGCTGTTCTTAGTAAAATGCAAAGAGCCGAAACATTAACAGTTATACAAAGTTTGATTATGATATATGCACACCTTATAAATTCAGAGTTTGATGCTGTTGTGAATTTCTTATCAACGGTACCTGGCCCTACTGGGCAAAGTGCTCTTGCCTTTGTGTTGTCTGAATGGGTTAGCAGACAACATCTTTTTTTCGGTAGATATGAACGTAAAGTAGCTACTTTTGCGTTATGTAAAATACTGGAAAATGGTGTTACACGAAACGATTCTAGATTGAAAGAAATTACTGTAAAAGGGGACCAAATATTTTCTGGTAAGGAATCTATTTTTATATTTTTTGAAGGAAGAGTAAATTAACAAATATGAAAGTTTATTTATCATGATCATTTCGTTTTTTGTTGATTTCTTTTTTTTAATTAGATAAAAAGAAATGAATTAGTATATGTATATATGTATATATATATATATGTATATTTTCTACATAGGAAATGAAACTGGTGTAAGGACCAGAAGTAAAGCAGAAACGCAACCTTTACAATGGACAACTGTGCCTGTTCTTATTAAGATCTTTAAATTAATAATTAATGAATTAGCCAATGCTATTGAAGTATTTAATGCCACTCAAGAAAGTGATGTATGTATATCTATTTTAATTATATAATATGATTATTTAAATTTATTCGAATGTTAACCAAAATAGTATTAGAAATGTTAGATTTATTATATGAAACATTATATTTCCTAGGAGTCTGATGATGATGATAACGAAACTGATGGAAATGATATTTTTATAGATCCCGGACAAGAAAATAGTTTATTTCGTAAGATTTTATTAATTCTAATTTTTTGCAATTTGCTTTTGTATGTAATTGAATAAGTCTACATATAACTTATTAATCATTTTCTTTTTCTTCTAAACAGATATAGAAGGAGAATATTATGATAATGAAGAAGAAGAAGATGATCCTGATCTTTTGCAAGATAACATTTATAATTTAAATATGACCCAATACTTGAAAGATTTTCTCTGCAATTTTTCAACTCATCATTGTTTTTCTGAATACTTTAATTGTCTTAATAATCTAGAGCGCAAAGTTTTGAAAACTATAAATATTGATTCAACATATATGTAACAGATTGTGGATACAATAATAATGATACAATTTTTCTATTTGATAAAAAATTATTAAAGTAACTTTTACTTTTATTTTCATTATTATTGTTATTATTAATATTATTAATACATTTTTGTAACGATTATAATCTATTTTGGATAAATTTTTATGTTCCGTAAAGAATAATAATATCCTGTTGTTTACGGTTATTTATGAGTGAGATTTGTATATTCCCGCGCGTAATAGAAAGATGCGCAGAGGTTATTGCGCATGTACCACTTTGACACTGCATTGCACGCATGATGCATAACCAAATTAATAATACAAGGAAAATCGATCGTTTTGACGTAAGATTATAGTGTTTTTTATTTGATAAATATTCTTAATTGTTTATATTATCAGATATGGATTTGGAAGATAGTGAGAATTTGCCAAAACCAACGGGAACTTCAAGAATCGAGAAGAATCCTGTTGATTACGACGAAGACAGAGTAAGGTTAGAATATTTTTGGTTGTGTCAAATGTCAAATTTAAAATAGAACGAATTTGTTTTCATATTTTAGATTTAAATTCTTTAGTTTTTATTTATAGTTCATAATACTTATTTAATGAAAAAAATTAATTTTCAATAAATCAAAGTTATCATCATATTTGACTCAACCTATGAACCAAAGTTATTTCTATAAAAATGTAATTTTTTCATTAATGTTATTATTTCAGATGCATGAGATGACAGCATCTTATTCGGAAATATCATTTGATTCGCAATCTTCTCCACCAGTTTCTGAATTGAGATCACTTATCGAATCACCTGATATCGATGGAAAATATTTGGGAGAATGTTTGGAAAAGATGAATGGAATTGGTGGAAATAGACCGGATCAATTAGATTTAAAAAGTAGAGATTCTAGTCCAAATGAAGAAGAGGATTTAGATCCACCAAGTTATCATAAAGCTATGGGATACTTACAATTAGAAGGAACGGTAATGCAGGATGGAGATATGGTTTTGTTTGTAACCGAAGACTTGGAAAATAAGATTAAATTGTCCAGTCCGGTTACAAAAAAAGGAGAAACCCCTTCTTTTCCAGGATCAAGAAGTTCAACGCCTTGTTTATATAGGCAAGCATTAACACCACAGTTACCTTTACTGGATCATAATGTATTAAATGAATTAGAAATGGAAGCGAGGAAGATAGCTACTTCTGTTGATGCTCTTACAGAAAATCTAGCAGCTATTTTACACAGTGTACGTCATTTTTATATTTGCTTTAGTGGCTTCAATAATTTGTAATAATATAAAATTGTAATTTTTATAGGCATCTGCACTTACGGTTGGTTGTTTGGAAACTTATAGGGACGCTGTATGTAAAACTTGTGATGCCGTAGATCATAATATAAAATCCATGTATCAATTGATGGCTAAGTGTGAAGAATTATCCAAATGTATGGCACCAATTTATAAGTTGGCAGAACAAATGTAAGTGTTTATATATTATTATTATTATTATTTTTAATGAATAATTTTTATTTATATCTACATTTAAATTATATCATATATATATATATATAAATCGTTTCGAATGTTATCTTCGTTTTTATTCATTTGTGTATTGATTTTGAGTAATTTGAAAGCAAGAAGTTTTAATAGAGATGAAAGATTAAACGAAGAAAGTACAGAGATGTCATGGTTTAATTGAAAAATAAAAGCTATTTCAGTTAATTTTGTTGCTACGATTTCCATAAATATTAAAACAGGTCAAACAGTCATTTCCCTCTGTGTGTGCATAGTCTCTCGCCTTCGTTGGCGCACTATACCGAACCTGTTTCACTTGCATTTCAGTAAGGAGATGAAGAGGATGCTGGAACTGTTTGAGAGCGCAATGAATTTGTAAAGGTACAAGTTGCCACCTTATGACATCAACTTCTTCTTTTTTTAAGCGATGCTGTCGTTCAAATGCTTTTACGATCGTTCTTTACAAATTCATAGAAAATTTATTAGATTCATAGAAACAATTAAAAAAAGAAATAATTTTATACTTATCGAATGTTCATTGTTATTAGTTATACAGCTGATAATATTAGATTTGTCAAATGATAGATACATTGTTTTAAATTAAAATTAAATGCTCGTTACATCGTCATAAATTCGTCAGGATATGTGTCTCTCTGTGTGTATGTATATATGATTTATTTTTAGATTAATCCTTGTTAAATATTGTACAAATTGTTATATCATAAGATTGTTTTTTTGTTATACGAATAAACCATATAACTATATACATAGATGTACATTGAAATGATGGTACGTTTAACAAGCTGGATGCTGAGCTATTTTACACGTGATTCAACGTGTTAAAGAACTTTTTCTCGATCTTCATCAACGTTCTTGTTGACCTTAGTCAACTCTATAGTCAAAAAGGGAGGTAGGAAAGAGAAAAAGAGAGAGAGAGAAAAAAAAAGGGCTGACTCGTCGTAGAGCAGGAGACGACATAATGACCAACTATAAATAAAAGATGGTGCGGCAGATAGCTGCCCCGTTTTACCTCGACCCGCTTTTACGAAACCCGATCGTCTCACTGGCGCCCTTTACCTTAGAGTCAACGTGCAAACTTCAAAAAACCAAAGTGATTACATATGCGGTTGTACGCGTATATATATAATACCTGTATTTTAAAGAGATATAGTCAAGTCAATACACTTTTCCGTACTAATTTCTCCTCGGTAATATAGATCTTGTTATTTTTAAGAAAATTCTTGTTGAATAAACAAAAACATGTAATATATTCATTCTCGTTAACGATAGGTACAATCTTTCTTTCTTTTTTTCTTTACGCAACTCGATCGCAAAGTTATTCATTTTCTCGTTTTCTTTGATCATTTCCCATTAGACTTTTCGCAGTTTCTTATCGTTAACAAATTACTCGGAGCTTGCGAGTGCATCTTCTCGAGGGATGTAAGCTCGATGAGAAACGAAGATGAGAAAAAGAAAGAACTTAGAACACAGAGATACACGTTTGTCTATCATACGAGAGAAAAAGAAGAAGAAGAAGAAGAAGAGGAAGAAGCTATAATAAAAGAAAATGAAACAAATGTGAATACGTGACTGCGTCGTCGCACAAATATCGCCAAATATCCTACATTACTCTTTCGCATCGGTTAGCTCGTGCGAACATACG